CAGGAACGTACAAGAAAGGGAATTCTAGGATATGTAGTTCAGCCTCGACACGTGGTCACTTTACAAAGCCATCATGAAGTTGTTATGTCGCTGTCTTTTCTTTGAGGAAAAGGAGGTGGAGATGTGTTTCTTATAAGATTATTTTCACTACCCAGTGAAACATAGAACTTTATGTTTCACTTCTTTCAGCACTTCCGTAAGGCATTGTATTGTTTTCTGGAGTCTATTGTTAATGTTAATTAATGAGCAGTCTGATTTTGTTCTTTGAAAGTAATGCATCTGTTTACCTGGTCTCTGCCTTTGGATTTCAGTATTCTTATTACGATCCACCTAAGCATGTTTGCCTTTGTATTTAATCCTGCTTGGGATTCATAAAGCTTCTTGAATTTGTCTTGATGACTTTCATATGATTTAGGAGATTCTTAGCCAATAATTAAATATTATTTCTTCCTATTTTCTCTTTCCTCTTTTTTCAGGACTCTAATTACTCATATATTAAAACTTTTCTCTGTGTTCCAAATGTCTTTCTTTTTCTTTTTGTATTTTTCATCCTGTTTTCTCTCTGCACTTCAATCTGGATAATTTCTGTCTTCCAGATTGCTAACTCTCTCTTCAGCTAAGGTGAGATAATAAAAAAGGCAGAAACCTTATTGTCTGAATATTCTTCTGTTGTCTCTTTATATGGCAATAACTTTGCTGAATTTTCTCTAGAGAATAAACAAAACAAAATCTCTAGCATGGCTGTTCAAAATTTTCCCTGTTACTAATAATTTACAATGATATGTTTCTGATTACTTTTTGGTAATAGCATATAAATTGGAGATTACTATCAATTTGGGGAAAGTCTCCATTAAGTTTCTTCATATTTGGAAGAATTTTCCTGACTAAAATCTCGTTGATATATTTCAAACCTCAGTTCTCCTCTATAACACACATCCTTCTGATGTTGCGTTTCTTTGGACACATACAAATTGCAATGAGACCTCACTCTCTGCACCTTTGGTAAAGGCAATGAGTGAGGGGGCACAAGTGGAAATAGGATGATTCTTAGAATCAGAACGCCTTGTGATAACTTAACTCTAAGCAAAGGTGAATGTGAACCACACAAATATCTTCACTAAACCCAAAACTAAACCGGCAACAACTTTCCTTTAGCTGGATCCTCAAGATGCCCATGGCCATTCCACTCTATCTGACAGGAGGGGAAATGGAAGGAAGGAGAAACTGGAGTAGAGACAGCAGTCTCAAGGGATTATCTTGACAGTGAAAATATCTTATATTCTCAAATTTTATAGAAACATAAAACTATGAGAACACACTGTGAGGGCCCCTTCCACACCTTACAGGGTTCTGTGCAGGTGAGGGGCCTTGAAGCTTTATCTTCATTAGTTTCAGGGTAAATTTATCTTGTATTAAAATATTAAAGACCCTCCAAAGAGTTAGCTCACCTGGGATCGTGATAGGCCAAGAAAGGAAAGCTCAGCCCTGCCCTTTATATAAATTCACATACATGGTCTTGGAGAGATTCAGTTACCACATCAAACCCTATCCCCTAATAGTCTTGTTTCAGTAGAACTTTCTGGGGGGAGGGGTAAGAGCAATAGTTATTACCCAAATTCCTTCTCTCTCTCCAAGCCTCATGTAATGTCAAATATACTGTATCTCCCCAGTCATATATACTGCTCCCAGCTCCCCTGTTCTCACCTCAACGTTCTCAGAGGACAGAAGTGGTGAGGGTGTTCTGAAATACATTATCCTTACAGAAGACTGGAATGAATAAAGCCTTGCCTACCTCCACTCTCCATTCCCCCCAAACCCACTGCAATAGTCTTTAAAAAGAAAGGCCATTACACATGCTGGGTTTACTCTCAGCTTTTCCAGTAGGCTAAAGATGCTGAACAAACAGACTTGGGGATTCAGGGTGTGGCTGCAGAGTATCAGCTTTGGGTGCCATAATCTTAAATCTACTCTTATGTACAGCCATATGCAAGCTGTGTGCAGTTAACTGTGTTTATTATACCACAAGGAGCAAAATGTAAACATACTTAGGCCATTAAAACTTCGAAGAACGGACGGCTATTTTATGTCCGTGTTTACTTTGCAGAGCACCATCTGCTCGGCTGTTATGGCAACTTGCAGAGTGGCGCAATCCACAGACCTGAAAGGGATTTGAAATGTGTGCTTCTCCTCTGAAACACAAAAGAAGACGTGTAAGGTACTTTTTAAATGTTTTTGTGTATTTCTTGTTTTTAGTTTAGTCAAGCACTGGGGGAAGCATTTTACCGAATTATTTCATCTTCTGTAATTATCTATGTATGTATGTATGTATTAACATTTTTGCCTGTCTGTTCTGTTGGAATAAGCAATTACCTGAAGAAAGAATGCTTCTACTTTTAACATATTGAAATTCCTTTATATACGGGAATCTCAGATTGCTTCATCAAATGTTATTCATTACTTTACCTTTTCAACCTTAAATTGAACTACCTTTTATCAAATGCCTATAATACAGCAGAAATTGTTACCCAATACGTTCACATTACTGCCAAGGAATCAGAGCTAATAGTTCCCAAGCACATAATGAAGTTAAAGTTGCAATGTTTATTCCAACCATCTTGGAGTGGAAGATCCTTACTTATATATGTATTTATTTATATTTTATATTGTTAACCTCCAGCTTACCTTCACAGACTTGTAGATTTTCTATATGAATGGGATTGTGCTGCCTATACTTACGTCTCCATCTAAAATGTAACTATTCTTTTGCAGGGAGAGCATGCAGGTGACTAAATTAAAAATTGAT